GGTTCAGATCATCCGGTGATGGATTGGCTAGACAAGCAGCCGGCTAAGTCGGTTATTTATGTTTCGTTTGGGAGTGGAGGGACTCTGTCAGCCAAACAGATGATTGAGTTGGCTTGGGGTTTGGAATTGAGCCGACAGAGATTTATTTGGGTGGTTCGCCCTCCCTCGGACCATGATGCATCCGGATCATATTTCACAATCGTACAGAGTATTGATGTTGACTCGGATTACTTGCCTGATGGGTTCCTAAACCGGACCCGTGATGTGGGATTTGTGGTCCCCATGTGGGCTCCACAAGTGGACATCTTGAGCCATCTTTCTGTGGGTGGATTTTTGTCACACTGTGGATGGAATTCGACCTTGGAGAGCATAATGAACGGTGTGCCAATGGTTGCGTGGCCGCTTTACGCAGAGCAAAAGATGAATGCTGCTCTGCTAGCGGAGGAGATCGGGGTGGCTATTCGGCCGAAGCAATCGCCCGTGGGGGATGGTGTGGTTGGAAGGGAGGAGGTAGAGAAGATGGTGAGAAAGATCATGGTGGAAGAGGAGGGGCGTGCAATGAGGAAGAGAGCTGTGGAATTAAAATACAGTGGAGAAAAGGCGTTGAGTAAGGGCGCGTGTTCATACAATTCATTGTCCCAAGTGGCAAAAGAATGCTTGCAATGCCTCATAGCAAAGAGCGGAGGTGCTTGAGAAGATAATAATTGGGATGTTAAACAGTATTTGCAATAACACTATACTGTCCGTGTATGTGTGACTTTCAATATGTAGAAGACAAATAGAATAGTGCAACGGTTTATGTTCACTATTTATTTCCAGTTCAATTTTATTAGCTGAGAAGTTTTTTTGGTAAATATTTAAATGTAATCTTCATATATTTTTTCTGTTAATTAAGTATTCCATCTCAATGTATAGCCTTATTTTAGTTGTATCCATGTAATATGCTCCTCATTTTGGGGTTAATGTAGATAAGCACTATAAAATAATGTATAAATTTGTACATACAAAATAAGTTTAAAATTGATAAGAGACATAAGCAAATTAATGGGAAAAAAATATAAACATTATTCTTATCTTAGCTCATGTTTTTTTTTTTTTTTATTGTATGTTTCTCAATATTATCTTTTAAGTTTTATGTTGATTTGAATAAGTTTTACTAACTGATCTTACAAAATTTCCTATGGCAAAACAAGAGTGGTTCATGTAAGACTTAATACTTTGAACTCTGAAACGTTAAGTTATACTCCCTCCATATCATCAATACCACTATTGAACATGTAAAACAACGGATTTGATTTGAAACAATCTGTGTGTTACTTCTTAACGGTTGCAAATTAATGTGTTAAAAACAACAGTCTATAGTTCTGGACAGCCAATAGCTCTGCTTTTAAGGAGAAATTTTATGTGGGTAAGCATGTGATCTGCCCAATTTATTTTGCACATCTGCATTGGGTTTGGAGAATGTTATTATTATGCACGTGTATGATTGTCTTTGCATGTTTCACGGGATATAGGGTTTATCAGTGTTCGTCTGGCTTCGATCTACTTTTTGAACAATACCATAAATAATCATAAAACAGGCTGTTATTCTAGGAGAAAAGAGATACTACACCGATCTTAAACAGTGAAGGGCCCATTTTAACACATTATATAAACCCATCCAAAGAGTTGACAATTCCATAATTGGTCCCAAGGGATGGTCCAATTAAGCATTTGATGAGCAACTAATCAAGGTTAATTTTGAACAAGTATTACAACTTAACAAGATTCTTGTCGAACAAATATTAAATTGAGCGATTAAACAAGATTAAACAATAGAAGGGAAAAGGAAAATCAATGCAAGAGGT